AGGAAAGTGGCCTGGAAGGGCCAAGTTTGCCCACCCCTGGTTTAGAGCATAAGTCGAGGTAGATTTTTGAATTGATTTATAACTGAATTTATTTCAGAACCACTGTTTAATTAAAAAAAAAAAAAAATCCCCCCCTCCCCTGCTGTACCGAAACTGTACCGAACCGTGATGTCAAAACCGAGGTACGTATGTGTACATGTTTGTGTACCGTTACACCCCTAATATTGACTGATATGAAAAATTTTTATCATGATGATAAAATAACATCTATTCATTAATTTTATTTATTTATTTTTGGAAAGAAGTCTCATGTTCACCAAGGCTGCATTTTTTTGATAAATGAAGATGGGAATATTGTGAGATATTACAACTTAAGATGTTTTATATTTTAATAAATGTAATTTATTTCTGTGATGCCAAAGCTGCGGTTACTCCAAATTTTTTGCAGCGGTTACTCCATTCTTCAGTGTCACATGATTCTTCAGAAATCATTCTAATATGCTGATTTGGTGCTCAAAAATTTCTTATCGATTGGATTTTTGTGGAAATGTTATACTATCATTCTTTGAATAAAAAGTTCAAAGAACAGAAATATTTTGTAACATTATAAATGCCTTTTCTGTCACTTTGATCAAGAATTGAATAAAAGTACTAATTTCTTTAAATACTTTTGAACGGTAGTGTTCTTCCTCTAATTACTTGAAAAAATGGCCATAATTAGTCTAAAATTATGATCTATGCATGGTTTTTGTTACAAAGCTTTTGCTGGCCTAATGAAATTTCCTTCATGTGAATGGATATCTATGAAGTGATGTTCAGTAAATTCCCTTTCCCATCATTCCAATTAAACATCCTTTGGGATGCGGTTGTTGAATTGAAAGTGAGTTAGTTCTTCAGTTTAGTTTGCCCAACCCTAGTGTAGACAAGTGGTTTTAGTGAAGCACAAACACCTACATTTGGACTGAACATCAGAGATGTTTATGAAAGCATAAGTTTCCGATGTGAGCTGTCTCATGCCATTTTAATGATCCAACCGCTGCTTGCCATTATGCAATATATTTATGAATAGCTGGTGCAACAGGCTCAGTTTGACTATGCACCCTTTACACATCTTTTATGATAATAAAGTCATTAAAACCCATTCTGCTCTAAAGAGCTTTGGACAAACGTTCTCTGTGTATCTAAAAATCAAAACGTTATACCCAGGAAATTAACTAGAAATGTTCTTTCCGCTAATTCTTAACCTCTCTTCCACACCATCCTTTCCAAGGGCCCTGATCCCACAGATCCAGGCACTGAGACAGAGGAAAGTCTTGGAGCGACAGACTCCACCCAACGCATGGCAGATTCTCAGAGCTGTAAGTCAGCGTGACCTAACTGTCTGAAAAAACGTGTGGTAGCATCCATCATGTTGATCTTTCCATGTATTTACAATGAAAAGGATTGAGGCCTTTAAGCTTCATGAAGTCATTTGTTGGTGTTTTAAAGCACCTTCTCTTTTCCTTTCATCTGTATGTGGCGGCTTAGTTGAAACTAGCACATTGGATGCTTTTGAAGCGCCTGTCACCAGCTCTGCCCCTCGACCTCACCCCCAATCACCCAGGAGACCTCAGCATCCTCTTCCACCTCGTCTAAACATCTTGGCCCCACCTGCTCAAGAGTTGGGACTCCCTTCACAAGTCCAGGTGTGTACAAAGGTCTCAGTGTGCTGTGTGGCATAGCTTGAGGAGCTTTTTCTTAGTTTGCTGTTGTTGGCGTTGCTTGGAATGTGCATTTAAAAAAATAACTTGCATGTGTCTGCAGAGGCTCCCAGTTCGACGGCCGTCAATGGGACGAGGCCTCCAGCTTACTTCTGGAATGGCCAGTAGTGCAGTGAGTTGCTTTTTGGTTCTTGGTTTGGTTGTGTGGTGTGTTTGCATCTGAGCTTGAATGTTTGTCAATCAATCTCTGTCTTCATCTTTTTTTCTTGCTTTTCCAACAGCAGCATTTCTATGAGGATGATGACAGGATGGTTCCTAGTACCCCTACACTTCCTCCTCCTCGCTCAGATGGATTTGCTGAAGCAATCCAGTATGCATTTTTGCCTTTACACTTCGCTGTGGTTGTATTTTTTTTTTCATTTAGCCACATGACTGATTTCTTCTGTTGTATGAAGTTCTCCACAGGTCGCAGGCGTATCACGATTTCGATTCGGTCCTACAGATGACCTCCCGCAGACCAGCTCCTCTCATTCAGACCTTTGCCAGCTGCCCTCACAAGGTAGCACACATTACCTTATATTCTTTCAGACTAATGACTGTTCTTTAACTGCTCTTTCTGTCAGATGTTGGTTGGTTATTCTTTTAATGCTGTCTTCTGTGTGTTCTTCAGGTTTAGGCATGTCTGAGAGTTCTGTTTTCCTTGGAGCTCATGAGGAGGAGTCAGGAGGACACAGTGTGCCCACAACCCCACTACAGATTGCCGCTCCTGGTATGTACAAATCCATGCATCCTAATAGTCGAAATAATTTTCAAATAATCTTGGAAAAGTGCAGGATTATGCAGTGGCCACTTTTTGTACATTTTAATTTACTGAGAATTCAATCGCTCCTCTCAGTCGACATCTGGAAAATAGTGGAGCTTTTGCGCGGCTTTTGTTTGTGGACTTTTCGTCTGCATTTAATTTTTTGCAACCTATTATTTTAGGGCAAAAACTTATTAGTCAGTTTAATTTTAACCATGGTTTAGTTTTATGGATTGTGAATTTTTTAACAGATAGGAAACAAAAGGTTAGAGTTAATGGGGTCTTATCCGACACGTTAAATATTTCTATAGGTTCACCACAAGGCTGTGTACTTTCTCCGGTTCTTTTCATTTTATATACAAATGATTGTCAGAGTTTGTACAATAATAGTTATTTGGTAAAATATGCTGACGATACTGTGATTTTAGGTGTTCCCTTGCGAAGTCTTACGTTTTATTATGAACAGCAAGTGATGAGGATGGCACATAAAATTATAGGAGACTGCACACACCCTTTGAATTATTAAGTGGATGCCCTTTGGGAGACGTTTAAGGTCAATTAGATGTTCCACAAATCGTTACAAATTTACTTTTGTGCCTGAAGCAATACGTTTATGTAATAAATTTAGTTGATTTATTTATTTTATTTTTCTTCTCTTATGTATTTGGTGTATTTTGAGTATTTGTATGTGTGTGTTAAGTGTTGTATATGTGAAGCACTACGAAAGTCTGAATTAATTGCCCCAAGGGGATTAATAAAGCTCTAAACTAAAAAATGGCGAACACAGAGGGATGACAAGCTATATCAAAATAGTTTTAGTATCCCATTATATACCTAATTCTGTTCACTCTACCATTTTACAATTGGTTAAATCATCTTTTTTTTAATCCATTCAGTGACAATTTTATCAGAGACTGTGGCATCTGAAGCAATTGAGCATGCTTCTCAGTCTGTGCCCATGGTGAGCACCTCCACACCCGGCCTTAGTGCTCCTGCACGCCCTAGTGGAATGGAGGAGAGAGACGACTTGTTCATGGACGCAGGAGACAGGTAAACATGAGCCCTTGAATCTACCCAAACGAGACACTGGCATCACAATTTACTTCCATTGTTGTGACATAAGAAGTTACATTTATTGAGAGATCATGGACTCCATAATGGAGTAGGTGGTGTAGAATGTGTGTTTATTAAAATAACTGTCTGATAAATATTTCTGCAGTGCTGAAGCTTCACTTGATGCTGTGTCACAGACTGAGGCGGAGGAACCAGCCCAGCGCTCAGATGTGGCCAGTCTGCCTTCCACAAGCCAGGAACCTTCATCTAGTTCTGCAGGTACAAACACACTCACACATACTAAAATTAGGCAAACCTCCAATATCTCATATCGGTTTCACAAACTTTGCATTATTTCTCTCTCAGACACAAGCAGCTCTCAGCCTCCTAAAGTCCGAACGGGATCTGGGAGACAGTGGACTGGTGGTCGTGGTTCAAGGGGCTTTGTAAAGAGAGGTAAGAATATGAACAATTTTCTCCAAATGTGGCAAATATCTTTTTTTTTTTTTTTCAGACATTTAGTTTTTAACCCAGCTGTATTAACACAGTAAGATTTAACATAATCAAGTGGATTTGACATCTTTCTTGTAGATGGCATCACGGGTGTGAGGGGACGTTTTGCCAGGTGAAGCAGTTCTGAAGCAACACATTCTGAATTAATAGCTCCAAAAGAACACAGCCATACTTTTGTTCTGCTTTAAGGCTTCAGTCAATGTATTATAATTTTTGCTTGTTAGTTTAAAGCTCTGAGCAATCCATCAATGTTATTTTACTGATTTTACATCCGTACAATAAAATTTTGAAGGAAGTCTTTGTTTGTCCTTAATTCCATCTCCAAAGATGCAGCATTACTATCAAAGGTGGTTTTGCACTGCACCTAAGACAAGTGCATCACTAAAAATATAAATTTACCACAAATGGCATGAGGGAAAGAGATGATTGACTCAGTTTTTCTGGGTTTCTGGGCATTTAAAGAAGCTGGTTTTCCTTTGGGCCTGTAGCAGGTTTGAGGATCACTGGTTTTTCTCTTTCCATTTTGATGCTGTGATAATTGTCTGTGAAAGACAAGAACAGAAATGTGACATTGAGAGCAGTGTTTTAGTTAATTTAAACAAACTGTAAAAAAAATAATTATTGGTAAATATAAATATTAGATGGAAAAACTTAAATTAGAAAAATTGCCTTGGCAACTAACTGAAATGAAGATATTAATTAAAAAAAAGCCTAAAACTTTAAAATTAAAAAATATAAAATATATATAAAATAAAAGCTAATTAAAAATATTAATCAATACTATAAAAGGATATAAGTAATACTAAAATACTGGCTGAGAGATACATTAGCCAGGCTTTCAGTTGTCCTTCATGACAAATTTAGCTGCGTTCGGGCATAAATCTCCACCCTGGTTGAGAAGTTCATTAGCTGTAACCTGAAACAGTGCTGGGACAGAGTCCAGTACCCGCTTTAATGAATGACATAACACTCACTTTGAGAGAATATGTAATACTTGTATTCCTCTTTCACCCTTGAGGGTACAGACACGGCTGAGGTCACCATGGTCGGAAATCCTCTCCAGGTCTTTGAGATATTGATAACTTGCCCCAGAGCTGCAGCTGGGAAAAGAAAATATCCTAAAATGAATCAAAATGCTCAGAGTTCTGTGTCAGTTAAACTGTTTAAGGTCACTTATCTGGTCTGTTAGGCCTCACATGGAACAAAATGTCCTGTTTGAAGCCTTGGTGAAACATCTGTTCCAAGGAAGTACTATACATTGTATTTTCACTTTTCCACATGTCTGCACAAATGCTTGTCTACACACAACCTTCCCCTCTTCCTTTACGTCTAATTTCTTATTATTTTGTCATTTAAACGTGATGAAAAAACGTAATGCTGTGTTGTTTGAAATGGCATTATTTTCTAATCAAATTTGTGATTCTTTACCAGCTTGTCGTCTGGCTCTCGTCCTCACTGTCAACATAGGAATTCTTGGCTTTTTCACACAATTTGGAGTAACCTGGTATGTGTACTTTTGCGCCATCCCACCTGCAGAAATCAATTTGAAAGTCAACACTGACACACCTAATAAAAACAAGCACCCATACTGTGCTTACAGAATGTACATGTACATTTTTCTTTCAATTCTTACCTCTTTTGAAGAAGATTACAGACTCTTTTCTGCTTCTGTACTTAGGTATAGATAAAGCAGCTGTGATATGACCAATCTGTCCAAAGCCCGTGCTGATGGGTTTGGGAAAGCCAGGATCCATCAGACCATTCTCAAACCTCCAGTAGTTCTTTCCCTGTGAAATATGCAAAAACAGGACATATCAGTTGTCGTTGAGCATTTAATTTGACACCACATCTGTTCTAATTTTCTGTGATTCTCAGTCTGTAGTGAATTGAAGTGTTTTGTCCTAATGACTATGTATCAACCTTGAAGAAGTAGGTTTTGCCCTGGCAGCTGCAGCGGGTGTAAACCGTGTCGATGGGAGATGGGATTCCCCACACACTTGTAATTAACTGAGGAGGATCAGGATTTCTATGTTTGTCCAGTGTCCAAAAATAATGTCCTATAGAGAAGAAACCAAAAGTGGCATTTTTTCACACTTAACATTTGGTTTCACAGATCCCTACACTTTGAAACTTTCCATTTAATTTTTGATTAATAATTATTTTTTCAAAATTCTGCTCTGTGTAAAATGGAAAAGATAAATGCTTTGAACCAAAATAAATAGTGTAACTATAAAGCGACTATGTTGTACCACACTGACCTCTGAACACCACAATTGTACCATTTCTGAGAGTAGTCAAATCACTGACTGGACGCCCACTGCAGAGGTTAGTGTCATAATCATCTGTAAAAGGAAAAAAAAAAAAAACATTAAAAAAAAATTATTTAAGAAACAAAAAGTAATACAATTATCCAAAACTTTTTTCTTTTTTTTTTTAACATAATTGAAATATTCATTCTAGCATCAGAGTGTCAACACTCTTAGTGAAGAAGGCTCTTAGTGCAAACAAAATTTGCCACAATGAATATCAAACATGAAAAATCTTACCACCTTGATAATCTTTAATACTATCTGTTTTGCCATTCTTGTCTGAGGTGGGATTAAGAGGTTTTTCTGCTGGTCTGATTGGAGCAATGTCACTAGGATCCTTGTGAGTTTCCTTTGGTTCAGATTTGTCGTTCTCTATACTAGGTTGAGTGGGGTTTTTTGTTGGTTTCACTGGAACAGGAGAGGATGGTGTCTTGTTTGGAACATGTTCTGTTGGGTTCTCAACAGCAGGGAGTATGGTGCTTGCATCTGGAGAGGACAAAACTACTACAATTATGGTCGACATGCACATTAAAAATAGTCTCTGCTGGGACATCAGTTTGACAAAATAAAAGTTAAATGTTTAATTTTATAATCATCGACATATCTTTGTGAACAAATGTTGCTTTTTGTGGCATTTTGCATATTTAACAAACAAAGCTTATGATTATTATTGCTCACCAAGGCCCTCGGAAGGTGTGGACTCACTTTCATCCTCAGGGAACGTTAACTCTTCTCCTTCAGCGTAAGAACACAATTTCAGTCATTTCACCTGAGTACAATGGTTTTGCCTATGGTTGCAAAACCATATTGACTGAAACCGAGGTGTGTCTTGGCATACGGGCAATTATCTTAAGTATAAAAAATGTTGTCTGCTGTATAGTAATCTGCTTTATCAATTATCATAATCAAATGTCAATGTAAACTAGTTTATGATTCCTTTTTCAACAAGTGCTCCTACAGGGGAAAAAAAAGACAACAAGTGACAGAAAAACACTCAACTTCATCATGTCAATGTAAACTAGTTTATGATTCCTTTTTCAACAAGTGCTCCTACAGGGGGAAAAAAAGACAACAAGTGACAGAAAAACACTCAACTTCATCATGTCAATGTAAACTAGTTTATGATTCCTTTTTCAACAAGTGCTCCTACAGGGGGAAAAAAAGACAACAAGTGACAGAAAAACACTCAACTTCATCATTGGTCATCTCCTCATTGGAGTGACGCTCGTGATTATGGTAAGGGGCGTTACATTTCAGACAAGTGCTTGCGGTTTTCGGCCAATCACAATGCACTGGGTTAGCTGGCCAATCAGAGCAGACTGTGCTTGTCGGAAGGCGGGACTTTGTAGAAAACGAAGCGTTTGAGAGAGGCGGGGCATAGAGGACCGTACAGTATGTACAGTATTTGAAAAATAATGTGTTTTTTGAACATTAAAGCATGTCAACATATTCTGTTACACCAAATACACAAAATAATGATCTTTAAAAAAGCATCATATGACCCCTTTAAGAGTACTGTTACTACAAAGTCAACAGTTACATGAAGCAAAAGATCAATACACTTTGATTTGGTTATTTGTGACAAAGCTACAGTAATTATACCTGTAGACTTTTTATTATTTATGTTTAGGCATAAGTTAGCGGTCCTTTGAGCTGTGGTAGCAGTGTTTCTTGGTTTTAAGGCAGTATCTGTGACAGTCACAGAGATAAGCATAAAATCAGGGCAAAATTAGATGCATGCAAATCAAGTTAAGTCACCTTTGTTTATATAGCGCTTCGCTTTATACAATACAGATTGTGTCAAAGCAGCTTTATAGTGTTAAACAAATGGATGGATACATCTGTAATTCCAAATTTCTGTTGTTAATTATTTTAGTTAATAAATAATATATATTACCGTTCAAATGTTTGGGGTCAGTTAGATATATTTTTAAAATGTTGTCTGCTGTATAGTAATCTGCTTTATCAATTATCATAATCAAATGTCAATGTAAACTAGTTTATGATTCCTTTTTCAACAAGTGCTCCTACAGGGGAAAAAAAAGACAACAAGTGACAGAAAAACACTCAACTTCATCATGTCAATGTAAACTAGTTTATGATTCCTTTTTCAACCTGTTGTTAATTATTTTAGTTAATAAATAATATATATTACCGTTCAAATGTTTGGGGTCAGTTAGATATATTTTTAAAGAAACTAATACTTTTATTCTGCAAAGATGCATTAAATTGATCAAAAGTGACAGTAAAGACCTAAAAGATTACAATTGTAAACAAACACTGTTCTTTTGAACTTTAGTCATTGGAGAATTTTGAGAAAAAAAAAAAATAAGAAAAAAGGACTACTAAGCAGCAAAACCCTTTTCTACATTGATTTGTTATTTTAAATTGTAATAATATTTCATAATGTTACAGTTTTTACTGTATTTTTGATCAAATACATGCAGCCCTGGTGAGCATAAGAGGCTTCTTTCGAAAACTTGAAAAAATCTTACCAACCCCCAAATTTTGATATTTCTGTAGTAGTAATATGTATGCAGTTTATATATTTTTTTGCAATCAGTCATTTTGCAAATGTTAGTCACATCAAAACATACAATTAGTATCAGTTGTTGCAAATCTATTTACAACCACACATGCGTTTGCAGCGTTATCAATGCTCATTTATTTAAGTATTATTTCATTCAGATATGCTGTATTTTGTTTAAATTCTACACACACATACTCCTTGTAATTTACATTCTTACCTTCCACCAAGCACATGCTCTCATAATCAGTGCAGCACTGATTGTATGAAACACAGTCAATATCGCAGTGACAAAGATTGTCTCTATTAAAAGACTCCCAGCAGCGTCCTTTACATGAGTCCTCTGTGATCAGAAATAATAGCAATGCAGTCTCATCAAAATGATTCTATAGACTGTTACAAAGACTAGACTACACCTGAATGCTCATGGCATTCACAGCAAATGCTACACCAATATTAATGAAACAGCCCAAGAGGAGAGTTCATATGAAACCTTACTTGTAGTACACAACTCTGTAAAGTCTGTACAGCACTCATTCAAGCTCAGACACTCATAGTCACACTGGCACAAACTTCCTCTGTAGTAGCCTTCTCCACAACGACCCCTACAGCTACCTGGACAGGAAGCAGTGTTTACTTACAGAGAACAGACTTTGATTGAGAATTCACATTTAGACAGATGCGGACAAAGTACACAACTCCATTACTTAAGTGAAAGTTGGCATACGGGCAATTATCTTAAGTATAAAAAATGTTGTCTGCTGTATAGTAATCTGCTTTATCAATTATCATAATCAAATGTCAATGTAAACTAGTTTAAGATTCCCGTTTCAACAAGTGCTCCTACAGGGGAAAAAAAAGACAACAAGTGACAGAAAAACACTCAACTTCATCATGTCAATGTAAACTAGTTTATGATTCCTTTTTCAACAAGTGCTCCTACAGGGGGAAAAAAAGACAACAAGTGACAGAAAAACACTCAACTTCATCATTGGTCATCTCCTCATTGGAGGTTTCTACCAAAAGAAAAAAAAAGACGTCACAACTATACTTTAAAGGGGTCATATGATGCGATTTCAAGTTTTCCTTTCTCTTTGGAGTGTTACAAGCTGATTGTGCATAGATAAGATCCCTGAAGTTGCAAAGACTAAAGTCTCAAAACCAAAGAGATATTCTTTATCAAAGTTAAGACTCTGCCACGCCCCCCTAAAACGGCTCGTTCTAACACGCCCCACATATCTACCTCACTATGTGGAAATATTAGCATAATGCCACCCAAATGTGCACGCAAAGAAAGAAAGCGTGGTTTCAGTAACCGCAGTTAGGGTTGAAGCAGCCATGTCAGGGAGACGCTGTGTGTTTAAGTGCGAAAGCAAAAGCACTTTAGCAACTGGTCAGTGTTCAAAAAATGCTGGGAAATCTTTTCATGTAGCCCTACAGGAGTGATTACTGATAAACTGTCTGATAAAAGAAAGTCACGTTTTAGAGAAGAAAAAAATCACCCACTGACTTTCAAAGCTGCTAACGACTTCTACTTCGAGGATCTTGATAGATATGTAGTGGAGTGAAAAGTACAATATTTGTCTTTCAAATGTAGTGAAGTTAAAGTCATAAGTTTCCAGAAAAAATAATACTCAAGTAAAGTACAGATACTCAAAAAGTGTACTTAGTTACTGTCCGCCTCTGCATTTAGAGTATGTTTAGACACAGAGACAAACACGACATGAGATGAGTTAATTATTTGCAGTGTCAACAGAAATCAGTGCACGTTTGAGAGTAAAACAGTTCACTGTTATATTTACAGAATATAGATAGATAGATAGATAGATAGACAGAGACTGGTCAAATTTGGAATATTTAAGGTTTTTTAATGATGTTATACAAAACATTAAAAAAAACTTTATTCCAAACATTTGACTGGCAGTGTAGATAGATATTCTGCTGACTTACTTTGATCTGAAGAGCTTGCGGAGGCATATGCAAACAGCAGCAGTAAGGACAGATATGTGGTCATCTCGGTTGCTCACTGTTGGAATCACCTAAGAGAGCCTCTGTTCCCTTTCGATACTTCACTTCGTACTGCGTCGCTAGACGCTACGGGAAACTCCTTTTCTCCGATTTACTGAAGCCTTTTTTTCAATCACAGCAGAAATCAATGACGGCTGCGCGAGCCTATGGCGAAGCAGCGCGCCCGAGCCTGCCAAAATGGGCGGGGCATCTGGTTATATAGCAGGTGCTCGGCATAGGATCACTGATGCTTTCTCTTTCAGCGACGACATCTACTGCTCTTCGCTGAGTCTACAAGATTTGAAGCCTTCGCCGGCAAGCTGATCCAGCCGCCGTTCTGCAGCAGCAAGATCAGCTCACCGCCTCTGCTCTCTGCTCACCGCTTGCAGCTCGCCGCCCACAGCTCGCCGCTCTCAAGCAGCACTGATCAGCGCGCCGCGACGAGCCGCTTGATGACAGTATGTCCCTAGCGGCCTCGGATGCTGAGGATTGGTCGGGCTCCATTGCTGACCCCGCCCCCTTGCCGTCTGCGGAGCCGATTGACGCCAGGGTTGGTACGGACACCGAGCTCATCCGTGTCCTATCAAAAGCCGTCGAGGAGCTCGGATTGGAGTGGTCTTCGCCTGAAGAGCCCACTCGCAGCCGCCTAGACGAGTGGTTTCTGCCGGGACGCCGCCAGAACCCTCCTCAGCGAGCTGCACCCTTCTTCCCAGAGGTTCACGACAAGCTGACGAAGTCGTGGCGCGCCCCCTACTCAGCTCGTTTATTCTGCGCGCCACAAAGACGACTGCACAGGCCATTGGGAGGTCGATGGCCAGCCTGGTGGTGCTGGAACGCCACTTATGGCTGAATTTGACGGAGATCAAAGAAGCGGATAAAACCCATCTCCCTTGACTCCCCGGTCACCCCCACTGGCCTTTTCGGACCTGCTGTGGAAGGGTTCGCCGAGCGTTTCACGGCTGCACAGAAGTCGTCCCAAGCCATGCGTCACTTCCTGCCGAAGCGTTCCAGTTCTGCAGCTGCTGCCAGTCGGCCCAAGCCGGCGCCGACTCAACAGCCAGTTAAGACTATGCCTCCTGTGACTCAGCCCTCTGCACGGCCTGAGCCCAGGCAGCGCTCGCGCTCTGCAAAGCGCCACCCTTTCCCGAAGCGCCAGGGACCCCGGCCCAAGGTTGTGCTGGATCCTGCGCCTCAGAAGCCATCCTGATCCCTCAGGAAGGAAGAGGAGGGGGCAAAGTCTCGCTGTGGCCGGACCACCCCCCAAACTGCCTCGTATGTGTTCCCAGTCACCCCGTCCAGTTCCGGGTGCTGGAAAAAATTTGTTTATTGCATGCAAAGGGCCCGTTCCAGCGCCAAAATGCACAACCGCTGTGATAGCGGACAAAATAAAACACAAACATACTCAAAAAGAGAGCAAATTTCCTCTTCCAAACACGGCGAGCCCCGGGTCCCTTCACAGCGACCCGCCGCCCGAACCAATTCAACCTCTTGCCACGAGGGCCGAGGCCTGGCAGGCCATCCCCGGCATGTCAAAATGGGTTATGGGGATTATAAAACGAGGTTATCTACTCCAATTCGCTCGAGAACCCCCGCGGTTCTGCGGTGTGATCCCCACCTTAGTAGGGAACATGAATGCTCGCGTTCTTCGTTCCGAGGTGGCTGTGCTGCTGGCGAAACGGGCCATAGAAATCTCCCGCCAGCTCAGAGCGAGTCAGGCTTTTACAGCCGCTACTTCCTCGTCCCCAAAAAGGATGGCGGCCTCAGGCCCATCCTCGATCTCAGGATTTTGAACTGCGCCCTGATAAAGTGCGCATTCAGAATGACCACTTTGAAACAGATCCTCTCGCTAATTCGCCCAGGGGACTGGTTCTTCTCTCTGGATCTGAAAGACGCTTACTTTCACATTCAGATAGCCCCCCGTCACAGGCGCTTCTTGAGATTCGCCTTCGAGGGAGTGGCATATCAATATACGGTCCTGCCGTTCGGGCTGTCTCTGGCCCCACGCACTTTTACGAAGTGCATAGATGCGGCTCTCTCCCCTCTGAGACAGATGGGAATCCGCATTCTGAATTACCTCGACGACTGGCTTGTCTTAGCCCAGTCAGAGGCCGAGCTGACAGCCCACAGATCCTCCCTCCTCAACCACTTAGAATGCTTGGGGCTCAGGGTCAATTACTCTAAAAGCTCGATGATTCCCAGCCAACGAATCTCATTTCTGGGGGCTGTTTTCGACTCAACCCAAATGAGAGCTGTAGCCTCGTCGGAACGTGTCCTGGCTATACAGCGTGGTCGAGCGAAGAGACAAAGCTGCACATCAACTGCCTGGAAATACTGGCAGTATGGCAGGCCTTACAGTCCTTCCTACCACATTTAGAAGGATGCCATGTCTTAGTCCGATCAGATAACATGACGGTAGTATCCCACATAAATCGCCAGGGCGGCATTTCCTCCCCACGCCTCTTCAGAATGGCAAAGAGCCTACTGGAGTGGGCACATTGCCACTTGCGCTCCCTAAAAGCAGCGCATATACCGGGCAAACTGAACCAGGGAGCAGACATGCTGTCTCCAGACGGTTCGGAGAATATGGGAGATCTTCA